TAGAGATTGAAGCCAGGGGCACTTTACCACTGAGCTGCATCCCCAACCCTTTAGATATTTTTCATTTTCAGGCAGGGTCTCACTTTTTACCCTGGCTGGTCTCAAACTTGTGATCCTCCTGCCTCAGCCTTCCAAGTCACTGGGATTATAGATATGCGCCACACTGCACCTGGCCAGTCTTCTGTTTTAAGCAGCCTTCCAGGTGTTTCTGATGCACACTGAAGTTGGAGAACTGCTAGCCCAGTCTTTTCCTCTGAGTCTGTAGCTTAGGATTAGGATATTTCTATTTTGACAGCTGTTCATCAGTATGACTTATGACCTTTTGCTTTGTTGAAGCCAGTTGCCCTGCTGGGGGAAGAGGAAATATTGTGTCCCTGGAGTTTGTAAGGAAAGGGAAAAGAGCCTACACTTTCCATTATTTTTTGACAGTTGCAGGAGAACTTGCCCTGGAGAGCTTGTTAAGAAGGAGGCAGAGTCCTCCTCCCTCTCCCTCAAAGGTACTGATGTGTTTGCCTCACCTCCTGCTCTGGGGCCTGCCGCTTTTCAAGCCAGTCCTTAAAAGGAGCAGTGGGTGCCACATTTGTCCTTTCTGTGCCAGGTCTGTGCTATTTCACTTCCCTGGCGTCAAGTGGATGCTTAATGAGAGCTGTGACGTAGGCCGAGCAGACTTGTTGAGAGAAAGCAGCTTCGCCCCATGCTTTCTGCTGGCTCCTCTCATTGCCTTTCCCAGCCCTGAGTTCACCCCTGCAGGGAGGAGTGGTCATCCATCAGCCTTTCCTCATAAACCCTGATAACTAACCCTGGTGCAGAAAGAGATGCTGGCAGAATCTGTAGACACTGATAAATGACATAAGAGACAGAAGTAAATGGTGTCTTTAGTTTTTCCTATTACCTTGCCCCCCAACCCCCACCTCCAATTTAATCTACAAAAGAAAAAAAAAAACAGCCATGTGGAGATTTTGCCATTTCCTTATTTTTATTGTTATTGTTTTAATGGGGTCTAGTATCATCTTTCCTCCTGTTCCTGACCCTGAGGACACAGTCAGGTGTGGAGTTGACAGGTGATCTGACCTCCCAGACTTGCATCTTGTTAGATAGCTGGGAATCTCCTGCTTCCAAGGTTCCCCAATTACCTGTTCCTTGACCATAAGAAAATAAAGCCATACTGCTCCTTTGGGTGGCGAGTTTTAACTCTGTGAGGCACAGAACACACTCCCCAAGGGGGTTAGTTTCTGGGGAAAATATTAAATAAATAAAAACTGTGATATGAATTTATGAAGTTGTTCCTAATATAAACAGCAGAGGAACTACTGTAGGCCAGAGAGCTTATGTGCAGAGTTAAGTGGGGAACAGATAGAGCCAGTCCATGAGGACAAAGGACTCTGTAAAAGCAGGGACTTTTGGTGAGGCTTTTAACTCCACCAGACAACCCAGGGGATTTAAAAAAAAAAAAAAAAGCTGTCCTGGAGGACTGGATAAATGTTACAAACCATGCCTCATTTGCCTGAGAATCCATTGGTTCCCAGTGAGGAGGAAGGTAAAAGAGAAAGTTAAAGGAAAGAGAGAACAAATTAGACAGAGATTACACCAAATACCCATTTTGTTTATTCAGCAAATTCACTGCGTGTCTCCTATGTGCCAGGCCACTGCTACTTGAGTAGCTCCTGCATGCCAGGTATATTTTGCATGCTCTTATCTTTAATTTTCTCAACAATCCTTCAAGGTGGGTATTACTAGTCTCATTTTTCAGATAAGGAGACTGAGGCTTTTAGAAGTTACAATTGGCCAAGGTCACCCATCTGACAGATGTCAGGCCTAGGGTTCAGATTCAGTCTATTGCAGGGAAGGCCTGTGTTTGTTCCACTCCACCACACTGCTTGTCATCAAAACATGTACCTTTCTCAAAGTCTGGTCTATTGTGTTCCCCTTTTGTCAAAGTGAGATGGGCCCCAGACAAAAAGGCCTTGGCCTCTCCTCCTCTCCTTGTTTTGAGAACTCTCCCTGCTGGCTCCTTCTCACTTCTGTGTGTCCTCCAGCGCTATACCCCTGGGTTCCTGATAACCTTTTTTCTTTCTTGTAGTGCTGGAGGTTGAATCCATGGCCTCAAGCATGCTAAGCAAGCACTCTTATCACTGAGCCACACCCCTAGACTCTGATGGACTTTCACTTTTGAAGAGTAGTCTTGTCTGGTGGTTGGAGAGGAAAAGGGCATCCCAAACGAAGGCTCCATCAGCCAAGCCTTTAAACAAAGGAGCTAGGAAAGGATACTGTCAGCTCTCCAAGGCCTTGAGGGCTATGGCGGGCTGCCTAACTACACTTCTCTCCTGCCTAACTACACTTCCCTCCTGCTCCATAGCTGGTTCTATCCTAGAGCAGGAGGGGTAGCTGCCATAACTGTCGCTTCCTTTGTCACAAAGAAGAGAATTCCCGTTTCAGGAAAAGTTCAGTGATTTTTACCTGTACTACCTACCATCTTCTAGATGAAGATATCCTACACTAGTCTCTATTTTCTCTTACCCTTAGGACATTCTTCCTCCTAACAGCTTTCTGGACATTACCCTGTGGAGAGAATTCTGCCTCATGTCCTCATAGCCCATCTGCCCAGCTTTCTCTCCTGTTTAGGAACCTTTATAAGACTGAACCAGAGCTCTGCCCAATTTCAACATCCTCACCCCATGGTCAAACATGCTTTGGTCTATAACCTGAACTGAAGGCATATCTGTACAAGTATTGGTGCTTGGGAACAAATTGTGATTCTTAGAATTCAAATTCTCTTTCTTGAATTCTCTCTCTCTCTCTGTTGTGTTGGGGATTGAACACAGGGTTCTATGTATGTTAAACATACACTCTACCCCTGATCTACAGCCTCAGTCCAGAAATCAAATTCTTGATTGCAATAGTTTTCAGACATCTGAAATCAAGGGCTCTGCCTAAACCTCCTCTACCCAAGTCCCATTCTCTGGGAGTCATGGGCTCCACACTCCAAAGTCATATAATTGTGACTAGGAAAGCAAGAGGAAAACTTGAGTTTGAATACATCACCCTTGGCCCAGGTACACCCCACATGCATAGGAATGTTTCCAAGCCTTTTTAAACTTCCATTGATCAACCCCACACCAATGCTTTCACCAGCTTCATCCCATCACATTCCTGACCAGCTGCTTCTTGGTGTACCAGGGAGTTGACACTGCCCTCTAAAGCATCTTCCCAGGAGCCTCTGCTTCCCACTGTACTCTGAAGCCAGGAAGCCCCCTCCACCTGGTAAGTGTAGCATTCGTCCAATCCCTACAAAGCCAGTAACCCATTCTTAGAATCTAGAGGTGGCCTTGGCCCCCAGTCCTCAACATATTTTATAGTCCAGACCCTTGCCACTTAAAAGGTGCGGTTCAGGAGCCAACAGCAGAGGCCTCACCTGGGGCCTATGAGAGGTGCAAGCGCTCAGGTTTTCCCCAGACCTGACATTAGAATCTGCATGACTCTTCACATGAGAGTGTGAGAAGAGTTTTCTAAACAGTCAGGAAGAGATACCCCTTTCTGAGTAGGCGGGCTGGGAGTGAAGCCAAGAGCTAGTGAGGAAGCCTGAGCTAGGACCCCCCAGTTCAGGCCTCACATATAATGGTGGAGTCACTCCTGATCACAGGAGTCTCCCTAGCGCCTCAGAAGGCAATGAGAGGCCCACAACCCTCCAGAAAGGAATAACCATGTAGGGTCAGAGGGGAAGGAAGCTGAAGGGGCCACGGTGAGATCCAGGCACGAACTCAGGAATAAATGGCACGTGTCACATAAAAAAGAGAGGAACACCTGCCTCGGCCAAGCATAGATGCAATGGTTCTCTTTGGGCTCCTACCACCATTCTGCCCCCAGCACTGTCAGGCACCTACAGCCAAGAACAGCTCCCGCTGTTCAGCCTAGAGCTGCCGGATGACTGAGTTGCAGAGTCACTGTCGCCCACCGGGTAGATTACTGGTAGAGGGTGCTCAGGAAATGTTCACTGAATTGAAAGGAAGCCACAGCTTGTGCAGAGCCTGGATAATTCACCAGACGTGGGCCTCCAGGGAGGGGCAGGAATGGAGATTAAGTCAGAAAGACAAGTCCTAATGTCCGTACTTAGCTGGAATTGTGTTCTTCTGTCTTTCAAGTCTCTGTCTGAATCCATGGCCTTGGTGTGGAGAGGTGGGGGAAGAGAAAAAGAAAGAGAAGGCAGGAAAGGACCCCAAGGTGCAGGGCCAGACCCTTGCCTCCATTCAGAGTGCATGGGATGTCTGACCTGGGTGTTGAAGAGGGGCATGCCTGCTAGTGAGCTCTCCCACCTGCTGTGGGCACAGGAGGTGGTCCCCTGCCCAGCCCATTTCACTGCAGAGGGAAGACCTTTTCAGACACCTTCCTTTCTCTTCCCAGTCCAATCCCTGTCAGCTGCAAGACCTCCCTCTTTCTGGATCTCATTCTCCTTTCCAGGAGAAACAGGAGGCTGGCAAGAGATTCCCTTGGTTTGGCCATCCCAGGGGTCTGGGACTTGGGTCACCTGGGTGAAAGGCAGGGGTATGGGAAAGGGCTTGAGCCTGAGTTGGCCGTGACAGCTTTGAGGCTACCTGGACCTGAGGAGACAAAAGCCTGCAGCTGGAGAGAGCAGCCAGGTGCCAGGGGAGTCCATTGCTGGGTGCTACCAAGCTTTGCTGTCTTGCAAAGGTAGGAAAGACTTGTGGCTTGGGCAGCAGTAGGCCCAGGTCAGTGATACCAGCTTTAGACACCAGGCACCAGCTTAGGAATACACCAGGGGTTGTGCCTGTACATGAAAACTGCACAGAGATGTGTACATCCTGTGCAGGGAGGAGGCAACTCCTTGCCCTCACAGGATGGCCCTGCCACAGAGTTTGCCACACTGCTCAGTCAGACTGGCACAAGCTCACTGGCAATCAGATGCCCATCATGCAGAAGTCTCTCATCTGAGTTCTTCCCTCCTCTTCTCCCCAACCTGGCTCCCCATCTCCCATGCACTATGCTCAGCATCTTCCTGAAGGGCCAGGACCTCCTGTCCTACTCCTCACACCTGAGCCTCTTCCCCTTTGACCTGTTCCTCTGGGGGCCCTGCTTCTTGATACCAGTCTCTGTTGGGCCCCTACCTTGCTAGACTTGTCCTCTCTGGGCTCTAAAACCCCGGTTCCTTTTTGTGGCTCAGAGCAAGTCTGGACATCTAGCCCAGACTGCTGGGCATTCCATCCCAGGGACTGCTTCTCAGAGCCATCTGGCCAGGACACAGAACTCTCCTGGGCCTCAGGCCTTGGACTGAGCATACAAATGCTCTCTCCAGGCCCAGGACTGCTGGCTCCTCCTAGAGAGAGGTCAAGGGGAGCCAAGTCAGTTTCTTCTGGAGAGCAAGGGACTGAACTGGCTGTGGAGGCTGCTGTGTCCCCTTGTGGCCCCTCTGGGGATGACAGGGTTGAGCTAGTTGCAGGAATCCTTTCTAGTCGGCCTGGCTCTGTCTCGCTCTGCTTCTGTTCACGCTCCTCCTCTGCACTGGATGTCTTTCTGGGGCTCTGGCTTCCCTGAAACAAGAGAATAGCCTGGCTGGCTGGCAAACTCAGGGATCATGTCCCCAGCCCACCCCATCCAATCTCCAAGTACCCACTTCATGACTCTGCAGCTCCTCTTTATCTTCCTTCATGTCCCACCTGTAGGAACAGAGCATGTGGCAGGCCCTAAGCCTACCCTTACCCCATTTCACATCACCCCAGCCAGTGCCCATGTCCCCCCAGGGAGAAGCTAAAGCCCAAGTTTCCCAGAGAAAAATCAGACCCAGAATAAGATTCCAGAATGCTTCCCTCCCAGTTTGGCTTTGTTCCCCAACTCCAACCATTTCCCCTGAATGCTACCCACCTTGGCCCCATCCTGGGTCCCCAGCTGCTGTTTATGGCCAAGCCTGCTGTACCTTAGTTGCACACCTTGAGTTCCTATGGGGACTCCAGGCATGTCCCTGCCTGCACTGCCTGAGAAAGGCACTCCTCACTTCCCAGGGGAAGGGAGCTGCTGTAATTACTGTGGCCTCCCTGAACGCCAGGCTCTGTTCCTGCTGCCTCTGCTGCTGGTCTCTCCTGGTATCTCATTAACCTGCAGCAACAGCAGCCAGCAAGGAGGCAGGGGCCCAGGGGACAGAGCAGGCACCTGGATCCAGCCCTGTCCAAGAAGTCAGGACAAATAGATGCCTGCTTTGATTTTTGTCCCCTGCTACCTATTACCTTCGGGCTCTGCCAGTCAGCCTTTCTGTTCCTCGGGCTTTGCTGACTGTGGCTATCGCCACCGAGGGTCTGCCAAGCTGTCCACCCCGACCTGCAGGATATGGTCCACAAATTAAGGAAAGAAGAAGGCTGAGGCAGTTGGTATCTCACCAGCTGATGGGATCCTGCTTCTTCTCCCCCAACTCACCTTTTCCATCAGGTGGCAATGGTGGGGGCTGTATCTTCCAGTGGGTCCTGGGTCCTAAAGAGGGACAAAGGAAATGGGGAAAGGGTGGGGTGATTAATGATCAAAAGCAGAAACACCAATTCTTCTAGTACCAGGAAGTCACCAGTCCTGATCCAGTTGTGGGTTTTCTACTTCCCCAGAAAAGCCCCCACCTGGCCTCCTGTGCTAGTTTTGCCACTTTCTGGCTAGATGACCTGATTGGCCTTTTGGGGCCCCAGCCTCCTTGTACATAGCATGAGGGCACCAGAAACCCACAGGCTGTTTCTGCAATAGGCCAGGGGAGGACCAGTTGGACTTTCACCCAGTATAGACTGAGGCCTTGAAAGACCCCAGTGGAGGCAAGCTTCCACGAAACCTCCTCCAGGGGCCTTTTGGGGCCAGAACCAGCAAGAGCTGTGGACTCAGAGGACAGTCGAGGAGGTCTGATGGTGCAAGAGAGGAGGAAGATATCCTCCCATGCTTCCTTTCAGCTCTGAAAAGAAGTAGGAAACCAAGAAACAGAGAAAAGGAGGAGAGTGAGAAATGCCAAGGTGCAGGGGATGAGGTGGGGTTGGCTCACCCCTTCTGCCTCCCGCCCTGGCCGAGCCCTCGTCCCTAGGCTTGCTGCAGTCCTGTAGCCTGTGTAGACAGAGGAGGGAGTCAGGTTGCTGGTGGCTGGGTGGACAGAAGTTGCTTCAGGCTCCGTACTAACACAGCCTCCCCCAGCCCCAGCCCCAGAACTGAAGGCAGCAGGGAGATGATGGGCCAAAGAGAGAGGTGGGGGCACCCAGTGCCCACATAAGCCCTGAGCCCAGGGCCTTACCAGAGGGCCCAAGTAGGATCTCTCCCTCCAAGCAGCACTCACACGTAGCCCTACCCCAGTTCCATTAGCATGTCAGCCCAGCAAGATTTGCAGCCCTGCCACCCACGTGGGCTTGGTCTTGTCCAGGTCCCACGGGCGGCGCCAGTCACCCTGTGCATCTCTGTGCCGGGCAAGGCGCGCCAGGTCAATCTGCTCCCGCTCCTGCTTCCACTGTGCATAGTCCCAGCCCACCTCTGGGGGCTCCCCCATTGGCCTTCTGGGAGCTAGGCCTGGGACCACGCCGGGACTCCGGGGTTCACGAGCACCCTGAAAGGAGAAGACACTCAGCCCCAGTAGTGGGGAGGGGAAGAAGCAGGAAAAAGATTGAAGTTGTCTGGAGGGTCCACTAACCCACTCTTTTCTCAAGGTTTCCACGTTCCCATGTAAAAATTAGATCTGTTCCATCTCTACTAATGTGCCGTGGCCATGATTTCCATCCACTTGTTAGATGTGAGTTTGGGGAAAGTAACTAAACCTCTCTGTGTATCATATCCTCATCTACAAAATGAGGCTAACAACAGCACCCATACACAGGGTCCTTGCAGAGGTGTGTAGAGTGGCCCAGGGTGGGAGGGACATCCAGAGGCTCTGAGCAAGAACAAGGACTAGGGGCTGCTGCCACCTAGAGGTCACGGCTGGCACATGGCCAGTCTTCCACACTCTCCCCACAGGCTGCCACCAGCCAGGCTAGATAGGGAGGGGGCTGGATCTCTGGCTTCAACTGTCTCTCCCCCAAAATCCACCCAAAGTAGAAACTGGCCACAGAAAGGATGGAGGGGCAGAAATTATCACAGGTGCTACCTAGGTCATATCCTGCTGATGAGAGTCTGACTCAGCTTCTCTGCCTTTTTGAAAATATACCTTCCGTGAAGAATCTGAGCTGGTGGCTATCTGCATGGAGGGGCTGTGGCCCTGGCTTGCTCCAAGTGGCTGATCTGTCCCCTGGTTCCTTGCTCTGGCAGGCTTTTCACTTACGATCCGTTTGGCCTGGGGAAGGTGAAGATGGACAGCATGGCAGGGCCAGGGACAGGAGACTGCCCCTACTCTGAGGTCTAGATGCTCCCCACACCTGCTCACCTTGGCTTTATTTTCCATGGTCACGGCCAGCTCCACTCGTTCCCCCAAACAGAAAGTTTGGTCCCCATCATCTTCATCCTCAAGCATCTCATGGGCCACTCCAGGTTTGAGGGGGCTCCTTGCCCAGTTTCTGCTGACCACCCGCTTTTCCTGCAGAATTAGGTGTCCATGCCTTCAGGCCACATGAGCAGTGCTGGGCAGGACCTGGGTGCTGGGTTCTTTAGGTATTTCTTAGGCCTGAGTTCTAGCCTGGGCCCTCCCTGGAATGCCCAGAGAAGTTGGTTCTATGGGGAGTTCACATGCCAACAGCATTAGGTTATCCAGGGCCCAGGGCCACCCAAGGCTCAAGATGCCACAATGGCCCGTCATCTTTGAGCTGGGAAATCCAGAGCTCTCAGACAATGCAGCTTTGTCCTTTAGACACTGTTCCTGGCTTTCATCCCCAACTTCTCTGTCCCCCACTTCCTGCAGGGTTTTTAGACCTGGCTCTGGGGATTAGCAGAAGCCTGTGCTTAAGGCAAAGATGCAGGCTGTGGGGCTGGGAAAGGCTATAGGGAGACTTCTATTAGGTGGCCTTTTAGCTTCGACCTGGACTGCATGAGGAGTTAATGGGTGAATCCAGAATGGTAAATAGGAGACGAGGGCCAGAGGCAGTTGTCCTCCCCTGACATGGGCTGGACTTCCTTCCTTGCCATCCCGCCCTATCTCCAGGGTGAGCTTACACCAGGAATCTGGCTGATGGTGACAGTGAGGCCATCAGGTCGGAGGAGCTCTGGCGTGGTCACAGCCATACCCCCCTGCTCAGCCTGCCGACGGTCTTCCTGGATTTCCTGTGGGAGGGCCGGGGGTCAACACAGGCCACGGCCCCCCAGATGCACAGAGACACAGATGCTGACAGGCCTACATGAAGAGACACCAGGGGGACACCAGGAGGCAGAGACACCACATCACAAGTGCCCGAGATCCTGACCAAGCTTCTGAGAGGGAACATGTTCACCCCAACCCTAGTCCTGGGCCTAGAGACACATTCCAGCCTGCAGGGAGAGCCCATCATGCAGGTAGCCACCTTTTGGTCAGCCAGGGGCACCAACCAAGTTGGTCCTCTCAGCCCTGTTGCAGCCCACTCACCTGGTACCTACGTAATAAGGCTTGATTCTTCTTGCGCAGGGCAACTATCCTGCGATCCAGCTCAGCATCCTTCTCTTCTTGCTTGCTCATCAGGGATTCAGCTCTGTGAGGTCCCTACAGAGGGCAGAGAACCCATGCTCCTGCCTGCTGGACCTACCCCACCTTTACCCCACCTTTCACATTTACCCAATCAGCCTTATTCTAACGACCTGGGAACCAGGCCCCAGACTCATAGTTCAGGCCACACAAGAGGGTTGGAGTTAGGAAGATGGTCCATAGAAGTCCCCAAGCCTCCATCCCAGTTCCTCCAGGGTACAGGTGAGGGTCTAATACTCATGACCACAGTGCCCAGCAGCAGCTGCCCCTCCCCCGGCTCTCCAGGGAGCTCACTGCCGAGCAGCGCCTGGAATAGGAGTTATAAATGGCTCTGGCAGTGGAACCTGCCGTGACTGGGAAGCTGCCAGGAGATTTGGAAGGTCGAGGGGGGAGCTGTTTGCCTTCCAATCCAAAACCACAGATAAAAAGGGTCTTCCAGCTTGGTCCTGGGCTCTCAGGCCCTGGACCCCACTCTCTGGACCTAACCCCAATCCGCAGGAAAGAACCGCTCCCACGGGCCCAGCCCTCCAGGCCTGAGCCACTGGCAAACAAGGCAAAAAGGGGTATCTATGTTTTAGTCTCAGCCAGGGAGCCCTCCAGGGCAAACCATGTCCCTGCATCGAGATCCTGGGTCCCTCCTTGCCTGGCTGTGGGGTCTCTGTTGTAGCCAGTGCCCCTGGCCAGCCCTCTACCCGCCTCAATTCAGTCCTCTTCCTCCCAGGCCCAGCTGTCCCTGGAATGTAGCTACCTGGTATCTCAGCCCTCCCCAGCCCCAAGAAGCCCCCCGCTAAAGGCAAGGTGCCACTCACAGCTGAGTGCATGGCAACAGCGAGCACCAAGAGAATTCCAGAACAGCCCCGGGGGAACCAGAGCAGGAGGGAAGCTGGAGCCACCGGAGCCGGGCCTCTGCCGGCCTCTCCCTGCCGGCTTCGCTGCTCAGCACACGAGATCATGTTGTGATTACAAAAGACTCCTCTGGGCTCCCAGCCAGGAACACTGCAGCCGCCACCCCCACCCTTCCACTCTCAGAGGGCGAGGACCAGGGCACTGGCAGCCAGCTGGTCCTGCCCAGCACCTCTCCCCGCCCTGCCCCAGTGTCCCCAGACAGACTGGCGGAGACTTCTTCCTGGTGGGTCAAGCCCACACAGGAGGCCTTGTCCCCCAAGGTCCTTCACCCAAGGTCCTATGCTTCAACAGGACCCCATCCTAGACCCCCTGTGGACAAGACAGGTAGATAGCAGAGGCCTTTGTGCCTCACATTAATAAAAGAGGCCTACGGGACACAGCCCAGTCCATCCAGCTCTGTGGTCTGAGCCCCCCCCCCCCCCCCCCCCCCTTTAGGGTGCCTCCCTTGGCTCTCATCACTCAAAATGATCAAGCCTCCTAGGCCAACACGTACTACACATACCTAAAATGCTACCACTAGTCATTGGTCCCTTTAGGTTGAACATTGTCTTCTCTGTATTTCCCAAAAAAGCTACTCTTGGCAAACTTCGGTATGAAAAGCCAAGCCTTTCTCCAGGGCCCTTAGACTTCCTTTCTCCATTCCTCACACTGGGTCCTTCCTGGCCTTGCTCTCTGATGCTGACCATTTCAGCCTCTCTAACTCTAAAGGAGAACAAAGGCCTTCTGAGGAAAACCTCTCCTAAATCATCCTCATACGCCTAAGCCAGTGTCTCTGCCCAGGGACCAGCCTGATGAGCAGTCCCATCCTGGGACCTCAGAGGCCCAAGGCTTGAGGTGCTGGGGAGAGGGGTGGATGCTCTCTCTGTCTTAGGAGTGCCTGGCATCTCATTCAGTATCAGTAGTTACAAGGCACTAATACCCAGGCCCTAGAGTGAGTGTCAGAAACCTCAGCATTCCCCACATTCCTGATTGACCAGGCCTCAGTTTCCCTAACCTCTCACCACAACTTGTCCCTTCTGTGACTGGATCAAAAAGCACCATTGCCTTCTTTCTCCTCCCAGATCAGCCCAGGCAGCTAGAGGCCCACCTCTCCTCCCCTGGAACCACACTTTCAGCCCACCCCCTTCTCCATCACGCTCAGCCCCTTTCCTGTTCAGGCCTTCACCCCTGGCCCCACCCCATCCCTGCAGCCCCAGAGTTCCCATCCTGCTTGCAAATGCCACTGTGCTCTCTCCTTCTTTCCTGCCGGATGTTCCCACTGAGTCAGACTCAGCTACTTTCCCAGCAACACTGACGCACCCAGACTCCTCACCCTAGTGTGTGTGTGTGTGTGTGTGTGTGTGTGTCACACACACACACACACACACACACACACACAAACTTGCTGCTTCTCCCACCCTTTCTATGTTCTGCCTCACACAGGCTGAGTTCCAGCCCAGCCTCAGAAGCCTCCAGAAGCCTCAACTTCCCATTATCTGCCCCACAATGTGTTGTTGGAGCAGGGGGGCCTCCAGAGCTTGGCCTGGGAGGGAGACCTAATGCTCTCAACACTCTCTGGAATACAGGGCCCCAGAGCAGGGTTGGGGAGGAGAGATTTGGACAGAGGAGGATGCAGGCAAGGTCTTGATTCCCTGCTGCATCCATTCCCAGCTAGAGTGGGCAGGCACAGGAAGAAATCCAGTTGTCCTACTGGGAAGGGTGACCTTGCAGGGAGAGAAACCCCTACCCTAGAGGCAAAGGCTTAGTAGCCTATCAGGCTGGAGACCCATGTGTCCAGGCAAACCCACAGTCAGACAGGGACCTACTGTTGCTGGCCACGTGCTTCCAAGTGTTACTCATACAATATATCATGCCTCTGCGCATCCCCCACATTCTACCACTTTCTCTAGAACCTGCAGTTTTCCCTGTCTGCTATCCAATTGGACAGAGGTTTTCTGAGGGCAAGAATAATGTGCCAAGTCCTCAGGATCCCCAGGGCCTGGCACAGTGCCCCTTGCATGCTGCAGAGTCTCCATCAGCTCCTGCAGAGTGAACTAACCTGTGCTGTCCCAAGCATTGCTGTGCATAGATTATGATGGTCTTTCTGTCCACCCAGAATGCACACAGCCCTGAGAGCCAGTGACTGTCAAAGCCTACTAAGAATGCTCTCCTTCTGTCCTGGGGAGAAGTCCACAGGAAGCAGGGAAAGGCAGAGGAAATGACCAGTGTGATGTTCCCACGAGACCAGGTCTGTTACTCTCTGCCACCACTAGGGGGAAGCAGCATTACAAAGCCTGGCTTTGGATGAGGGAAACGCATGTCCTCCCCTGTTTCTCCCCAGCACCTCTTAAGTCTCAGTCACCACCCCACCTCACAACTCCATCAGACTAGAGAGGCCACACAGTTGTAGAAGTCACATTTTATTTATGATAAAATAGGCCCAGAGAGGTGAAGCCATCTGCCTGGGCCTCCATGCCTGTTTTTATTGCAGATGAGCCTGGAAGTCAGGGCTGGTGCCTCCCTGCCCAGGGCTCCTTTCCCTGATGGCCCTGCAATGCTGTTTTGGCTGAGACCCTGCTTTTTGTTCTCCCTCTCTCCGTGGGGCTGGGCCAGTCATCCCAGCATCCCAGGGCATGGCACAGGTCTCTGGATCACAGCTCTTTCCTGGTGGGTTCCCCACCTCCCAGACCACCGGCCAGCTCAGGCGACAGCCCCACCCCTGTGGCAGAGGGCATCTGGACCTGATTCATGGTGATTAGAACATAGACATAGAGCCAACCTGGAGACAAGATGGTTGTGAGACGCCTTTTCTCTGAGGAGAAAAGGGAAGAAAGGCCTACTGGGGAAGAAAGACCTAACAGACCTGGGAGCACAGGTCTGGCAGGGGACAGGGCTACTCAGGCCATATTCATCCAGAATGTCTGTCCCTGTGAATAGGTGAACAATAAAATATCAGCACTCTAGTCCTTGCCCTTCTTATCCTTGTCCTAGAATGAGGCAGGCTGGCATGGAGTTCAATCCCTTCCCTCCTTACTGACACTGTCTCTTATCTCTCTGATTTTCCTCTATAAATTGGAGTGCACATTTCTCATTGAGTCATTTGGAGACAAAATGAAATAACATAATGACATCTATACCTGGAACAACGTGTGACTCATAGCCAGGCTCAAAGTCGTTTTTTTCTGGCTTCAGGTAACTTCATGGTAGCCAACCCTTAGCATTCATCAAGGGGACCCAAAGGCTGCCTCCCCCAGCCCTTGGGGCCTGAGCACACTGGGGACTTCTGGGTTATGGGGATCATTTGAGACCTTGGAGGGCAGGCCCTGAGGTACCCCCTCAGTGTCTTCTCTGTGCCTTCCTTCATGTCTTCTGCACAAATCCTGCAAGCCCAGGCTCCTGCACCCTCCATCCCTCCAGGATGTCCTCCCTGTCTACTACCTTCCTCATACTCTGTTCCCTTTCAAGTCCCAGATTCTGACTGTCATCTCTTCCAATAAGCACTGGTGCTCCTGGAAGCAGTCTCTGTGTTTCACCTGCCTCTGAACCCCTCTGGCTGTTCCAGATTCACATCTTAGTACTCAGGAACCATCTTCTTGGCTGGGGGCTAAATCCTTAGTGATCCCTAGTGTCTCTTGCCAGCTCTTGGTGGGTGGGTGAATGTTGAAGAAGAGGATGGACAAGCTGGAGAGCCCAGTTACTGCCGCAGTCTGGCTGGGCACAAAATCACGAGCCACTCACAGCCTTGTAGATTCAAACAGCAATTCTTTATTCTCAAAACCACACCAGACTGCGGCAAGTTACCACACTACCTCCTAATGGGAGGGCAAGAGGGGGGCTTAAAGTACCTTTTCTACATACCCACTCCTCTCCCTATGCCTTATTAGGGATATTCCTGTCTCAAGAAACAGTCTTGACTAGTGGTCTGTGTGTCAAACCAGGCCTGGCCCTGGGTGGGAAGACCTAGAGTGCATGAGGTACGGCTAGAGGGACCCGCCCTGGGAGGCTCCAGCTGCCAGGACAAAGTCTGGGCCCCGCCTTTCCAAGAACACACATGCCAGAGTAGGGTGGCATCTGAAGGCAGGAGACAGGTTGAACTGGGAGCCACTCCATTTTGTTCTGCAGGATACACCCAGGGCTGGACCACCATGTGCTCTCTAGCCCTTGACTCAGTGGTAAGAGGTGTACCCTGGTGTGAAACTGAACCCCTTAGGGTTTCCCTTGTTCAGGCCTCTATTATCTATGCAAAGAGAGCTCACAGTATTTTTCCAGAACCCCACATTATGACCCATCTCAGAGTTGCTACCAAAGATTAAATGCTGTGCCTGTCAGGCCTTGCCTGCCACATTCCATTAGCAGGGCACCTACCGTGTGCTTTGCATGACCTGCACAAGAGAGAACTAACTACATGGGAAGAGGCAGGGAAATGGTGGTGGCTTTTCTAAAAAGAGGACATCAGGTTAGAAAGTATAGACCAGACTAAGGAGGTCACTGAAGGGCAGACTGACAATAAAGTAGTCCAGGGGCTCACTGACAGCTCCACAACAGGGGCTGATGAGGTCATGTGGCAGTTTAGGAAGCTGAAGCCAGAAAGGTTCAGTCAAGAATTTGTGGGGACAGGTGTGAGTGATGTTCAGACACTGTAGGGAGCTACCTGGGCCAGGCAGGGCAAGGAAGGTCCAGGGAAGGAGTGAGCAGGAGAGTGTTCAGAACCTTAGCATGGCTGTAGGTGGGCATAGAACCAAATGGCACTAAGGTCTCAGTCCTAGGGGTCATTCTGGAAGCAGGGAGCACAAAGGGCTGGGTGCATGTCCCCAGAATGCTCCTCCTTCTAGGCCTGGAGGAAGACGTGTGATAGGGGCAGGCAAGGACTAGTAAGCTAGCCTGGGACAGACAGGCTTTATCCCTGCCCTGTCACATGGACATAGGTGTGGGTCAGGTCACACCCTGTAGGAGAGAAAGGTTTGGCACAGTTTTGAGAGATGGAGAAATGGCAGAAGCCACTAGAAGATTGAGGAATGGCAGGAAGCTGAGAAGGGGGCCTTTGAAAGTGGCTGAAAGGGCGCGTTTG